TTTCACCAGAGAAATATTAACAAAACATTTAACCAAGTTCTGGTTTTAAGAAAAATATTTACTAACAGACAACAAAACACTTACTACTTCATACTAACAGTAAAATATACATAAATAGTTTTTTCAATATAAACATTCTCAAACTTTTATGTATTCCCTCAATTTATGTAGGGTAAGAAATTATTTTCAGTATGTGTTAAAAGCAAGTGTTTTCTTCCCCTCGCAGAAGCAGGGCTTGCAATATAACTGCCAGTCAAACAAAAAGGTATTTTTCAAGCAATGGTGGAACATTTGATCAAGATTCCTAGATATAGTTCCTGACTGCATGTACAGCATGGTTTGAAGTTTGTAACCACTGCTCTTAGCGAAGTCAAAAAATAAAGACTTCATATGTTTACTCTGAGGTTGAGCAGACATTTGTAGCAATAATATTAAAGCCAGTAAGAGAACAGGAAGAAGTGACCTGACACAAAAGTCACCTTACCATTTGTAAATGTGAATGTAAAGGGAGCAGCACTGGTCTGCTTCTCCTTCAGAGGGACTGTTTCAGGATTGCCAAGTGCACTTAAATTTAAAACTTGGCAGGAACAGCATGAAAACTATTAACTTTCTCCAGTTTTACTTTATTTCTCTTTGTAACTATACAAAGGCCACTGTACAAGGCCTTGTACAACCACTAATAGCAGTCTGGAAAGGAAAGCCAGACCAACAGCTGAGATAAGGAAGAGTGATCTGCTTGACAAACCAAATAAGATACGAAAAATGAGGGGTTTTTCCCAAGATTTAAGTGCTACCTTTGTTTATTATCTCAAATAATTAAAAAAATAAACACTAAAAACCGCCAGGTTCCCTAAAAACATTTTTGGATCTTTATCACTGTATTTTAATTCTTTACACAAAGTTAAAAGAAATAAATTTTCTTTTAAAGGTGAGTGAAACACTTCAGTGTGGTATTTATATTGATAACACTAAGGTATTGGGTGTGCTATTTGGACAAAAATGTTTGTGACAACAATTTTAAGTATTCATCTCAGAAGACAAGTAAGTAGGGACACAAATACAGAACAAACAGTGTTATAGGCTTTCCTTACAAATTTAAAGTTACTTGAATATGTAATTTTCAATGTTTAACACAACTATGTTAATGCTAAACTCCTGCCTAACACTAATGTCCAAAAATAGTGTTAGATATGTCTGTATTTTTCAAATATGCTGTATCTGTGTGTATATTAATTTGAAAAATGTGTGTATATATGAACAGGTACATATATAGTATTTAACAATTTAAACATCTATTTATACATATGTAAATATAAAAGAGCACCAGAAAGGCTTATGTAATCGAAATTCCAAAATTTATATAAATATTTTTGAAATTACTATCAGTCATCACTGTCTCCCTACTTTCTTTCCATGAAGACATTCTGCAAGCATTCTGTACGTTCTATAACCTTGTGCATTTACTTGCAGTGAGTGCAGATCTAAGCAGTCAAATTTTTAATGAAATCATGATAGATAATCTAAGCAGAACATTGCTTCTGAAAGTTTACCCGGTGCAACAACTTTTCTACTAAATCCAATATCTA